AAAAAAAAAAAAAAAAATACATGATTTCCATCTTATAACTTGGTTAAAAAAATCAAGGGTCAGCTTATCTGTTAGTAGTATTTGTCCCTGTCCTGTGCTAGATCTTACTCCTTCTAATTCCTTCAGAAATTATAGATTTGTCTTATTTCTAAACATACTGACTATAGCATAGAAAAACGTAAGAATTTACTTAAGACAGTTTTAGTATAATTACATATAAAACAGCTTCAAAGAGCAAAGGAACACCTCCTTCCTCATTCCCACCTTTGTTTCTCACAGCAATTTAAAAACATGTAACTGAATAATGATTTATTTTTGAAGTTAAATATCTTTTTCCCAAGGGAGAAGCATACTGCAGGATGTGCTTAGACACATTTTATTCCTCCTAAAACCCTAAAATGGCAGCACAGCTTCTCATCTTTAGTTGGGTTGATGTTCTCACAGTGGGTCTGTTGAAAATGTCAGCAAGACTTGCTGTCTTGTGGCACCTTTTAGGTGTGCCACTGGGAGACTCCATGCTCAGACTAACATGGGAAGGGAAATGTGGCCGTGGCTTTCACACATTTCAACATATTTCCCAGGAGGGAGTATGTGAAGAACTGGGGGCAGACCTGCTCATTCACAAAAGCCAGAGGGCAGTTAGCAGCACATTGAGAAAGTGCTTTTGGGATTTATTGTGTCTATAAAGTGTCTGACAAATGCTAGATGTTAAAGGTTGAATGGAATTGACCCAAGGCTGACAGGGATGAACACTGAAGAGTAGCCATTCCAAATAGTGAGATTCTAGGCCACTAAGAGAAGGAATCAACACAGTTCGGTCGCTTCTTGGCAGAGGCTTGGATTTTGTCACAGTGGTGAGAAGAATTGTAAGACCAAGAGAATATCGCATTATCGCAGCCCTGTGATCCATCCCATCAAGCGTTCTGTCTCTCACAGTGTCCAGGTCAGGGTGTCCACCTGAGTCATGCTTGGCACAGAGTAGGAACACCGATGTTGCTGGATTGTTATTGCCCGATCTTCATCCTGTGTAACTTTCATTCCAGCAATAGACAGCAAGCTCCAAGGTACAGTTACATCTGCTTTATTTTAGAGAAACCACCAATTCATTTCATAAATGCAAAACGTCTACTTGATTTCTTTCCAGATCTGGAGAAGATATGAAAATTTCACCTGATCTACCTTCCTTTTTATGGAAGTTCTATCAGACCTAGGATCTTATACTGTCCTTATTTGTACTATTTTCAGAAGTTCCTGGGATATAGTTTCCATAAGTCCACTGTGTAGCTTGTTAAAATATCTGATTAGTATAATAGGATCTTTCTTAGCCCAAACCAGTCTGTCAGTACTTTGTCTTTCCTTCACTTTGGGAGCAGCGCTTTCTTACCCTTTCAGACAACCAGCACCTTTATGCTCTCTTCCTTCTGTTCCAGGAAACCCTGAGCTTGCACAGAAGGTGCAAATAGCAAATGATCTCCCACCTTACATCTCTGTAGAGTCTTGTGTTCCATGTGCTTTCATAGAACACAAAGCTGTTTTGATCAGATGAGTCAAGAAAGCTTACCTTCCCGAAGGGTGGGTTCAGTTGATCTCTAATGGTTAAATCATGATTAAATAATAGTGTATTTAACATTCATTGTGGCCCCAAATTGGCCAAGACAGAGTCAGAAAACATTTTAGCCAGAAGACCTCAAAGGACAAATGCAACAAGCTGACACACACCTAGATAACTCTTGGGCACTGTGCTTTGCTAATGCTGATTTTTATTCTATCATTGCCTATTACCTTCTGTGTCATGCCAAAGTAACCGGATGGTGGAATTTTAGACGTCATGCTACATCCTAGCATTTGGAAATGATCTCACAGAGGCCTGAGCTCCTTGTTTATTAGTGAGGCTGCCTCTGCTTCTGTGTGGAGACAGCATGGACTTTCCCAGGAGACTGAGAACAGGAACACAACAAGGAGAAGAAGAACCTGCCAGATCATGCAAGCAATTTAGGATTATCTGAATATTTCTCTCTGATGTTGGCAGGTGGTCAGAAACTGCTTTGCGATGGTGTGAGGCGTCACAACAAAGAGGTGTGGGCTTGGTGCCACTGAGAAGCAATCCCTTTTCTTCTTTCATGCTGGGATCCCCAAGGTGAAGGCAATTTAATTAGAATTTAACGTGCCATAAGTAGGTCAGAGCTAACTCCCATCACCAGCAAACACTCTGCATTTGGGACCCGCCAGGGTTATCACCATCTCTAGGGAATCCTGGAACAAAATAACCCCGATAGACCCTCCTGAGAGGAGACTCCACCACCTTCTTTGGGGTTATTGATGTTATCTTTCCAATTTTGGAGTTAGAACTAGGTTTCTGGAAGACTCCATAAGGTCTTGGACGCTAAACTTTCCATACATAAACAATTTTGGAAAATATAGTTAACAAAACAAGAAGATAGTTTTCACTGTAATCTTACCACTTAGTGACAACAGCTGTTCACAGTTTGGTGTCGATTTTGTGTGTGTATTTTTAAAATGAAAATGAGATTATACTATACTTTAATAATGAACTTTTTCATGGAACATAGAGTGAATATCTCTTCATATCATTGCTTATTCACCTATTTATTTTGTAAATAAAGTTTTATTGGAATGCATTCATTCATTTACAGATTATCTATGGCTGCTTTGATGCTATGATTCAGAGTTGAGTGGTGGCAACCGAGACCATATGGCTCCCAAAATCTAAAATATTTGCTATCTGGCTCTTTACAGAAAATGCTAACCCTTGATCTACAACCTAATTAATAATAATAATAGTTATTTATTGAGCATTTACATGCTGGGTATAGAATCATAGTCATCCTGGGTGTGAATCCAGGCTCTGCCTTAGTAAACCTCTGCAGGTCTTAGTTTGCTTATTTGAAAAATGGGGGTAACTGTATTATCTCATAATGTGGTTGTAAACTGTTATGCCTGACGCAGAAAGCTCAATAAATGTTAGCTTTCATTATTCTCATTGCCACTTTATCATCATTCTTTCACTTAGCATCAAAGCAGCCCTGTGAAGGGTTTTTATCCACCCAAGAGAAACTTGAGGCCAACAGAGGTGAAGTAACTTGCTTGAGGGTCATCCAGGTAGTAAGTGGCTGCGATGTCGTCATTTATTCCTCACTTTTGCTTATCCCATCAGTCAGTTGAAATGAGCCAGATGCTGCCTCAGATGCTAGGGATTCTGTGGTCACCAAGCAGAGTCCTTGCCCCAAAGTGGCTCCTCTTCCAGCTGAAGGAAGGTGATAGTAAAGAGACAAGCAAATAAATAGGTTGGTTTCAGGTGGTCGTTAATTATGAAGAAACTAAAACCTGGTAATGGTGTAGAGACTGATGAAGGGAGAAAGAGTGGGCCACTTAAGCTAAGGCAGCCAGAAAAGGCTTTTGAGAAGGTGACATTCAAACTGAGGCCTGAATAGTAACTGGGAGGAAGTTAGTCACCATTCCTCATCTGTCACCCATCAGAAGGTCATTCCAGGCAAAGGAAACACCAGTGCGAATTCCTGAGCTCGGAGCGGTCAGTGCAGAGGTGGAATCAGGTGAGGGGGCAGTGGCGGGGTCAGGGGACAATGTTGAGCGAAGGTGGTAGGAGATGACATCAGGGTTTTGATTTTTATTCTCAGTGTGATGGGAAACCAGGGGAGAGTTTTAAGCTATACAAGCAGGACTTGCCGATGAACGGAATATGGAAGTGAGGAAGGCTCAGGAGTTAAGGATGGTGCTTAGGTGTTGGTGTGAATGTTGGTGAATGTTGGTTCAATGTAATCTGGCTTCTGCCTTGATTTTTTGCCCCAGCACATTAAAAATCTTCAGCCCCTCATCCTCCTGGCGTTCTCTCTAGACTTTGTCACCATCACCTATTGTTTATTCATGGAAACACTCTCATGTTTGATTCCATGGCATCTTCCCTTCTGGGTCCCATCCAGCCCCTCTGTGTCTGCTCAGGCTGTTTAAGTAGTTCACTTTCCTCCTAGTACACCCCTGAGTCCTATTTCAGAAATTCTTTTATTTGAGCACCAAAGCTTATCCTGAATGGTTTCATTTATTCCCATGGATCAGCATATTGCAAACTCTATTGCCAAGTTCCTGTATTTACAGCTGTTTAATGTACCTATGCATGTGTATGGATGGCCCTCAGTTTCCCCAAGTCAATACATTCA